GTTTTGATAATCCGAACCGTTCATATTTTTAGATTTATTCAGTATATTATACCTGTAAAAAATCAAGTTGATCGGATATCAGAAAGTATGCGTTCAGAAAATTGGGACTACAAACTATTTTTTAATAAATAGTTTTCCGAACACATACTTTATGATATTCGATCAACTTGATTTTTTACAGGTATGATACACTGAATAAATCTAAAAATATGAACGGTTCGGATTATCAAAACTGGACCTCAAAGTGGACCCGAAGGCCCCTGCAAAGAGGAAATGAAGGAGGGGCTCAAGGAGGGGATGTGGACTCGGGGAGGGCCCCTATATGTCTACACACAGTTCTGTCTCTGCTCTTAATGAATCATGCAGAATCCTTATGTCGTGTATTCGTCAATAGTCCATTTCAAGAACTACCTAATCACCTCACCTTACTGATTTCTAGCCGAAAGGAAATTGATACCTATTCTGCAAAGGTTTTTGATCTTTCACCAAGGATTTCAAGCCAACTTAAACAATATCACAAACTATACACTACCTCGGATTCACCCTCTTCATAGAAAAACGTCCATTATTAATCGCAATACCATGAGTTTTTTTTTTCTTCTTTTCACATCGCATTTCTCAATTTTATTACCATACATGACATTCCATTATCCATCCATTTCATTCTCAAAATAAATTCTCAATCATCTTTTCAATCTCAAAATAGGGCAAAATTCATTTTCGTCCTTTGTGGTTCAAGGATGGAGCATTTTACCCCCTTAAACACTTAATTTTAACTTAAACACATATAAATTAATTAAATCACCTATTATTTCTAAAACTTCTATTTATTTAACCTGATATAAATTCTTAGTTACACACAATTTCTATAGATATATACTTGAATTCCTAACTATAAGCCCAATATATATATATATATATATATCTCTTCTATTATTATAAAGTGAAGGCTTGAGATGGTGATGACACAATATGATATTTTGTTTTTCAAAAATACCCTTCTACTCTATTGAAAAGGAAAAATTATATAGCGAGCTGAATGGGGCTTGAACCTATTGACTTCTAATTCGAGAAACAACATTTTTACTAATTGAACATCATACAACATATTCAAATCAAAATCAAAATCAAAATCAAAATTTATATTTTAGAGATTTAACAGCACACCCATTGCGTGGACACTCACTCACTATTATATGTATATATATATGTACTGGGTGATTAAGGTCGTCTGAATGATCTTGTCTTTCAGCTGCCGCAAATCAGAACTTCTTTGTAAGAAGTTTTCTTGGACTTTGCTGAACTATTGCAGGTGGCGGTTAGATGTGGGCCGTTTTCTTGTCCTGTTTTTGTTGTTGTTTTTTAGTTTGGATTGGTTCCTCGCCTATCCCTTGGCTGCATGCTTGCATATGATTCTGCTCACTATTCGGTGCTAGCCTAGTTGGGATTGGAGTGTTTGCTATGATACTTTTTGCACTAGCCATTGCTGTATTGATGTTTTTGTTTCAATGCTTGTTTTGTTCATTGAATTTTCATCAATAAAGCTCTTTCTTTTTCGCCGATTAAAAAAAAGGTCATTTGAAATTTTCGGTGTTGGAGTGTGTAGAAGGCAATGCTACACTTATTATATTGAGAATAAGATAGCTAGGGTTATAGGCTTTGGGGAAAAAGATGAGCATGAAGGTAAATTTGTTATTAAACATCATATTTTTACTTCGGACTCAATTTTTTTTTCCTTCATCATGTTCACTCTTGTTTTAGGTGCATCATGCATGTGACACATTTTGTCCATATAGATGAAATTATTAATGATAAGCAAGTAAGATAAACAATGGCCAAAACCACATGAGGGGTAATTGATTATGATTAAAAGACAAGATAAAGTGCTTCTAGGTTAAATCACAAGAGGTAAAAGTGAAGTTTGCCTTATTTATTTTAAATTAAGACCAATAACTTTTTTTGTTTTTGTTTTGTTTTGTTTTATTGGTGTAAATTAAACCAAGAACTTCATTCCCTAGCTAAGATATTGAACAAAAATATACATGACCTTGCTAGCAAGCTTAGCTAGGTTGTCCATTGATTCCCTTTAATCAAACCAAAAAGGCCATTGATTTCCACGACATTTTTGAAACAAGAACAATAACAACAACAACAACAACAACAACAAAAAAAAGCATACATTACCGCCCTCCATCACAAGTACTAGTACATATTTTCCCACACCCTATTTTACATGAATATAATACATATCAAACCAAGTTTGGCTGCACCCATTAATTGTGCCAGAGCATGCATGCATGCATTCATGCATGTATTTATTTTTCCCTCACACATTAATACATAGATATATTGGATAGGAGTTATAAATTACTCGATCACAAAAGGTTGCAGTCCAACATCTTCTTCAAGTCGTCCTCTCCAACCCGCAATAAATTCTCCCATGGTGAAAGGTTTGTAGCGTTGAGGATTCGATTCGTTAATCAAAGCTTTTGAGGGTTCCGTTATTGAGTCATCAGTCGGAACAAGAAAAGAACCAAGTGTGGTGCGATGTTTTTTTGTATTTGCCACCACTCTGTGTCTTGGACTTGAAAACATACCATTACTGATCGGCTACAATACAATACAAACAAAGGGTCCACTTTACGTCAAGAATATCAAAACAAAATCTAGACTACTCATCAACTACATTAGTTTATGATAAAGTTAAAAAAAATATATTATCTTAAGTTCGAATATAATATAGAAAATAACAATAGTTGTTCTGATATTGGTGAATTAGAATTATAAGTTTAAAACAAATTTTACAAATAGATGCAAACATTCCAATTGGTGCACTAAATTATAAATAAAAAAATATTAGATTCTATTCCGAACTCATGCATCGTTTATGGAATATTATTTACAATAATTGTAACTATTGCACAAAGAAAATTTTCAAAATTAAAATTTATAAAAGCATAATTAAGATGACAATGTTAAAAAGAAAGTTTAAGTGGGGTTAATATACTATAAATTGATTAGAATTTGTTAGTAGGACTTGCGTACAATGATTAGTAATTTTACATCCTGGAAAACTAACAAATAAATAAATTTTAAATAAAAAATTGTACCACAATATTAAAACATTTTAAAAGCCTCAGTTGTTGCTTTAGAACTCAAAGTATCTTGAGTTGGTCTGGTCATTCTGTTCTATAGACAGTAATAAATTTACGTTATATGATGCATTGATATTAGTTTTTGTACAGTAAGGGTACATCAACATGAACTTTTTAAAAAGTAGATTATGCGTACGGTCTGATACATTCGTAAAAATTATTTATTTTTAATTTGGAGTAATACAAAAAATAGTTAAATTATGGGCAAATTACATATACCTCTCTCGAGGTTTAGCTAAATTACAGATACTCTTGAGGTTTCGAAAATTACAGATACCCCCCTGAGGTTTATATTTTCATAACAAATTGCCCCTTGAGATTTATATTTTCATAACAATTTGCCCCCTAATTTGTTATGCAAATAATACCTTCAAGAGAGTATCTGTAATTTCTCAAATCTTAAGGGGATATCTGTAATTTTGCTAAACCTCGAGGGGTATATGTAATTTGCCCTTAAATTATTTAGTTAGTTAAGCATACCTACAACCCACATTTTAATACAAAATACATGTATAAACCAAAGATACTAAGATATTGAACAAAAATATACATGACCTTGCTAGCAAGCTTAGCTAGGTTGTCCATTGATTGCCTTTAATCAAACCAAAAAGGCCATTGATTGCCAGAACATTTTTGAAACAACAAACAATAACAACAACAACAAAAAGCATACATTACCGCCCTCCATCACAAGTACTAGTACATATTTTCCCACACCCTATTTTACATGAATATAATACATATCAAACCAAGTTTGGCTGCACCCATTAATTGTGCCAGAGCATGCATGCATGCATTCATGCATGTATTTATTTTTCCCTCACACATTAATACATAGATATATTGGATAGGAGTTATAAATTACTCGATCACAAAAGGTTGCAGTCCAACATCTTCTTCAAGTCGTCCTCTCCAACCCGCCATAAATTCTCCCATGGTGAAAGGTTTGTAGCGTTGAGGATTCGATTCGTTAATCAAAGCTTTTGAGGGTTCCGTTAGTGAGTCATCAGTCGGAACAAGAAAAGAACCAAGTGTGGTGCGATGCTTTTTTGTATTTGCCACCACTCTGTGTCTTGGACTTGAAAACATACCATTACTGATCGGCTACAACACAATACAAACAAAGGATCCACTTTACGTCAAGAATATCAAAACAAAATCTAGACTACTCATCAACTACATTAATTTAAAACAAATTTTACAAATAGATGCAAACATTCCAATTGGTGCACTAAATTATAAATAAAAAAAATATTAGATTCTATTCCGAACTCGTGCATCGTTTATGGAATATTATTTACAATAATTGTAACTATTGCCCAAAAAAAATTTTCAAAATTAAAATTTATAAAAGCCTAGTTAAGATGACAATGTTAAAAAGATAAGTGTGATTATATGACAGATTTACAAACCAAAAATTAATTTTAGAATCATATTAAGTACCGGAAAAAGGTCCAATGAAACTAAGTTCACTTTTGTATAAAAGAAAATACAATTCCGGAAACTAGAACATAGTTTTACCCATGGTAAATAGCATATGCCTACAGGTTCAACTGAACATTTAGAGTAAGGGATAGAAATGGTACCTTGAATTGAACACCAGGGATGATAACAAATGCATGAGGAATGGGCTGGACACCGATCCATTGGCCATCCTTGCAGGTTTGAAGTCCAGGCACATCACACTGATGAAGAGCGGCGATGAGGTTGGGGTCAGAGTGTTCAGCATGTCCCAAGGTCAAACTTGGGTCTGGGCATGGAATGTGGTGATTCACTGACAATAGCTGTGTTTTGCTATGATCCCCTGCAAAATACCCTGGTTCTAATCCTAGTCCTTCACATAATAAATCCAAAATAGTCAGCAGAAACTTCCTCACTTCAACAGAATATGGCCCGATAACTTCTCTGAAAATTATACACAAACCAAAATTATATTGTATGATTAGAATCGAATCAATTAAAAATGAGAGACTAAAACAACACAAGGCAAAGCAAGTGACTACTGACATAATTTGCCTTTTTTTGTTTAAAAAAAAAACCCATAATTCTAGCGATAATTATTGACAACGTTAATGAGGGGATCACTTTAACACATTTATTGGGTGTTTGGGGTTTGCTTTTTTGTTGGCTTATTTTCATCCAAATAGACTTTTTGTTTTTAACTTTTCAAAAAGTTTTAGGATTTGCTAATTAAGGAGACGAACCATAAAATTAAAAAAAAAAAACCCCAAGGGGTTTGGTTAGTAGATAGAGAAAGCAATCAAAGGGCTTACCACCTAAGGAGTTGTAGGTTTAAAATCAACGAAGACCAAACATTCCAAGCCTTGAGGCCACTGGAGGTTATGTGGTCGTTAATTTTAGGGTCTTGAATTTAGTTGAGGTGCGCGTAAACTGACCCAAATACTCAATTATCAAAAATAAAAAAATGAAAAATACAAAAATTGAAAAAGTCTAGAACAGACCAAAATAATGCCAAACTAGTGAAATATTTTTGGGTTTTTTTTTTTTTAAAACTTTTTTTAATGCGGTGAGAATGAGGTGGAGACCAAAATAATAAAAAAAGAAAAGAAAAAAAAGGGATACTTTAGAAATGGCCAAATGAAGAAAAGAGATGAGATTAGAGAATAGTTTACTGATATTTGGGTGGGTCTTCAGGCCAATTCTTGATGTGATCCTCTAGTGGATAACAGTGATGGATAAAACAGTCCCTCCAATAACGAATACCATCTTCGTGATCATCATATATCAAATTGCTTGTGTACAGAACACAACTCTTATCCCTGGCATCTGTGATGAACTGTGCTTTGTATTCTGCAGGTGTCTTGGTGAAAAAATCAATTAACACACTCATCGCATCATCCATTAACTTTCCTGGAACTCCATGGTTCACCACCTATGTTCATTTCCACAATATGCAATAATTATAATTAATATTTAGAAGTGCACACATAGATAAAATTAACAGAAATTTAGACAGAATGATCAAATTGTGTCTAAGGACTAAATTGTTTAAATTCAAATTATAGGAGACTTAAGTGAAATTGAGTCAAACTAAATGGGTGAAAAGTGTAATGGGGAAATTGCAAATCAGTTCAAAAACTAAAAATAATTGCAAAATCCTAGAAAAGTTTATCACTTCAATTATTAGGGTTGATAAACTTCACCACTGATTTGCAATTATTTTTTGGTCCCTCCACTTAATTGCAGTTTCCCCAAGTGTAATTAACCCTAAAATATTCCTATGAACCTTTCATTATATTAAATTGAGAAAAAGTCATTACCTATTGAGGTGATTTTTTCATAACGGTTGAATAATGTAACGGAGATCATTTATTACAACCATGTATGCATTAACGGAGATCATTTATTACAACCATGTATACAATTGAGACAATCTCAATCTGGTTTGGATTACACGTCACTTTAACGTTATTGTGTCATATCGTTATCAACATGGTTTTATATATGTATGCTGGTTTTCATTAATGGAGTTTTTTTTTTTTTCCTTTCCTGATAATAGAAAAAAAAAAAAACAAAAAAAACATGGTTTTATTATATATTGTATACATTTTTTAAAACCAGATTATCAAGAGTATTGGTATAAATTGCGGTTTAGCAGTATTCAAAGTATCAAACAATACATATTCAGAATCAAGTGTCATGATTTTTTTTTTTAAGATATCATTTGTTGAAAAAAAACTTTATATATACCAGAGGAATCGATGGTGAACCAGGTCGTGAATGAGATATGAACCGACACATATCACGAATCAGTCGGGACAAATGATTTCCATTACTCCTAAACTCGATACATTGTTAAAAGCTTAGGTATGGAAAAGAAGTAGCTTAGTTAGTTGTGGAATTCAATAACTTGGTGTCATGAGAAAATGGAAGTATGAACCTGAAACAAACCGAATTCCTGGCATGCTTTTACAATTTGCTGAACAATCTCAGCGCGATCATCAGGATCGACAATGTTTTGAATATCAATGACTGGAATGGCTTGGCCAACGGGAGCATCATGTTGTTTGGGTCTTTTATCTGGTGGGAGTACATAGCAATCAGGCAAGGATTGAACATCTGATCGGGTTGACAAAAACACCTCCATTGTTAAAAAACTAAAGCAAGTTTGAGGATACAAAGACTTTAATGGTATGCTGTTGGGATTAACATGGATGTGGCATTTATAGATGATTGTATTGTATAGGACAACTACACAATTAACCGCACAAAAAGCACAAACTCCTGATGTAACCATTTTGTTTGGGAGACAAATAATATAATTCATATTCATTTTCCAAGATACCAACAAGTTTTTATTGGTAGGAATCACTTAGATTAGATTCCATAATTTCTCAATCTTATTGGACATCAGGATTCATCAGGAGAGCACTATCAGAATACAATATTTGAAGAAATGTTGTTCATCCAGCGCATGGCAGCAAGTGTTTTTTAACTACTTATCCATGGCTATGTCATGCAGTATTGTTGACAATACAAGTAATAAAGTTGCTCATCTGTCTAATAATTTAAGCTTTTATATAAGTTTGATGGTTGATAACTCAACATGGTATCAGAGCAGACAATAAATTCTTTATGATGTTTTTTGCAGAATTCAAGTTTGATATTCAATTAAGTAACTGTGGGGATATATTTTCTGAGTACCAACACGTGGCCAAGGTGATGCCGAACTCAGGCAAGGCGTGACCTAAGTTTCACATCAAGGAAGGAACAAGACAAGCATACTACACTTAGACAAATCACAAGGCTTCAAAACAAGGCATGGATCACATTAACTCAAGCGAAACAAACCACAATACACACATGCAAACTTAACAAATCATAATCACACAGACGCTCATGAACATGATGAGACTGTCAAGCAATACACAATTCAGATATCTTTTGAATACTGAACTGAACTGTTTACTGAACTGGTATTGTTTACTGAATGAATGTATGTCCTTTATTTCTGAACTGTACTGTGGCATCTTTAGTACTTACTGTTTACTGTTACTGTTACTGCGACAGAATTCTCTGTCGGTTCCCTCGTGGAACCACTAGTGTTTACTGACTGATGGCCATCATTACTGTTCGGTCTTTCTAGACCTACTGTTACTGTTATGCTAATGGATGTACCACATATGACTGTTTACTGTACTGAACAACTGAAATACTGATTGAATTGAACTGTTTTCATTACCGTAAGGACATTCATTCTAAACCTCTTTACGCATTATGTTATTCACTGGGCTTTAGCTCACTGTTTATATATATATGTAGGTGCTCAGCCACCAGATCGGAGCTAGGAGCGTGGGTTAGACTCCAGTTTTGTCAAGCCAGCCTTTGTGCCTCACTGCGAGGTTCCGAGCCTATCTGCTAAGGCTTAGGGGTGTTTTAAGAATTCCCCCTCTGTACTGTTTCACTGTTTTGTATAGACTGACTGTTCACTGTACCGCTATCTAGGGTTGAGTCCCTAGTTTGAATGAATGTAATATTGTGCATACTGTTCTGTACTGTTTATGTATGAATGCATGAAAAATCTTTTTGGCATACAGACTGTCACAGCTCATTGGACATGGTTTAACTACTGTATTGGCTTCTGCCAGGCCCTGTACTCTGTTTTACTGTATTACTGTTAAGCAGGCCTTCGGTAATATTGCATTACTGGCCGGTTACGGTGCTAAACCCATAGGGCCGGGTTTGGGTCGTGACACTCGTTGAGCATTGACTGCTTGTAAAATAGTTTTTGAAAATTTTTACTAAGGTTGACTATTTTCTCGAAAACTGTTCCATTTTCCAAAACTGGACCATTTTCTTGGACCCAAAAAGGAAAATTTTCAGTACTTACAGCCTAACTTGCATGGCTTTCAAATCAAAAGTCGAACAAGTATGTTAATCCGACTCTCATCTTGATCAAAACTGTTTTAGTAGAAAACCAAAATGAAAAAATGGTCAAAATGATGAACTAGGGGCACAGTTGAGTCAGGTGTTCTGTCTTTCCCCCGTCATCAACATACTTGCCAGGAGGGCACTCTACCCACCAGAAGAAATAGCTGTGAGCTAACAACATCAGGCATGAACCCGTAACTTCCTATTCACCCATCAATTACCTTGGGGAGGGACGAAAAATGAGAGAATAAAGAATAAAGAGGTGTAAGTTGAGAGGAAAAGTGAGCCAAAGGGTTTTGAGAGAAAAACCGAGCTTGAGTGCCAGAGTGATGTGAGAATCCCAAATGAGAAAAGGATGGGAAACAATACCCAGAGAAACTAGCTCCTCGTGATCTGAGGTCCCCCGTCTTCGTTAACGCGTCTGTATGTCGTGTCTTTTGTTTTGTTTACCTCAACCTTTGTTTTAGGTTTCTTCCAAGCGTGTCTCGTTGTGTTTAGGTCGTGTACCCTTTTGTTTGAGTCCTCCCTGCTGTGTTCAGTTGTAGGCTCGATGCCCCGGTTTAAAAAACCCTAATTTAAGTTCAGAAATCGTTTATACTCAGAATGCTGTGCCATTCTCTATATTTGATTGTGTTTCAACCCCAGCTGGTTTCACCTCCGTAGTCCGTCTTGTTAGATTGGGCCGTTTGTTCAGGATTTGCTGTGTATAAAACGAACTAAATGCTGTGTTACGGGCTGTATGCAGATTAATCCCCAGTAGAGTAAGGGCTGTGTGTCCAGAATCAGGCAGTGGGCTGCTTGGGTTATTTTGCTGTTGGCTGTTTAGTTATCTGATTATTACAGTGCAAGTGTTCAATTTTCAGACAACCAATCAATTTCATTTACATTGAGGTGTAATATGGGGTGATGCAATGCAAAGTATGAAATGTAAAGATATACGGATATAAACACCTTTTTTAGATAAAAAGCCTGTTTCATTTCATCATCTTTTCAAATACACAAGTTTTGGAGACAAAAATCTACCTGCGGCAGTACAAAGTATCCTAACTACCAACAAAAGAGAAAAGTACAAGAAAGAAGAAAAACAACAAAAATCTGTATCCGTGTCAAGCGGCTCCGAGGGCTATCGGTCTGTCCTAGTCCTCTTCCTGGACGAAGGTCTAGGAGTATCGTCAGCATCGTCATCAGAGCCCGAGCTAGAGCCGCCTCCGGTCTCCTCCTCCGATGACTCCGCCTCCGATTCTGCCTCTGCCTCGGGCTCGTCATCATCATCATCATCATCATCATGGGTCGGCGCCCGAGAACTACTCCCGACATGAGTACGCCCTCCCCTGGTACGGGGACGTGCAGTGTCTCCATGCCCTCCTTGAGCAGGAATAGAAGGCCCAGCCGGAGCACCACCCACCGGAGGGATTTGGAAGGGAGGCTGAAAATCACAAAGGGCAAATACATCAGAATACAGTGTACGCAGTGTATCAGTGCAGAATATAGTGTACAGTGTGAGAATACCGTGAGCAGTTTATCAGTGCAGAATGCAGTATATAGTGTGTGAATGCCGTGGGCAGTTTATCATTGCAGAGTACAGTGTATAAATGCAGTGTATGTAGTGTATCAGATGCTGTGAGACCAGTGTATCAGGTGTTGTGTCGTGCATCAGATTACGTGAATCAGCTTATGAATGGTTTGAGACCGTCGTCAGAAGAACATACCGGAATGCTGTAGAGGGCCAGGAGGTCGAAGGTCCGCTGTAGCATCCCCATCATGGAGGCATTCAACTCCACGGACTGCCGGGTGTACTCGGAGGATGCCTGCAAGAGTATAAGATACATCAGTGTTCTGCGGAATATCAAATAAACTGAAATGAAATGCCAATGCAAGATGCAAAATGAAGTAATACATACCGGAGGCAAGACAGGGATACCGGCTAACTCATGATCAGCCGGGGGAGGAGCAAAGGGGATCTGGTAGGTCGGCCCATCCTCCCCTCTATATGACAGTACAGCGGGCAGAGCGGGCCAGCCAGTCCCCCGTCCCCCTCGAGCTCCGCTCCTGCTATGCACTCGAGCTTTCCTCGACGCTCCTGCTCCAGCCCCCGCTCCAGCTCCAGCTGCCAGCACTGCTGGCCTCTCCCCCTCAGCTCGGCGACCACTGCTCAAGGGTCGCATAATGTAGGTCCGGACGTACTCTGCATAGTCGCCCTCGCCTCTGTGATGCTCTGGACCCCAGCCGACGGTGTAATCCCTCATCTCTTGGGCGGCGAACCTCTCGGTATCTCTCATATGGGCAGGAGGTGGACCCGGCACTATCTGCTCCGGTAAACCCAGGGTCTGACGCAAGAAACGCTCGCCCAGGTACCAAGCCCGACAGACCGGGGCCTCCAACAGAATCCGACAACGGGCAGTCTCCCCTGCGCCCTCATAGTGATCTCTCACCATGGCCGGCAACGGAGCCCAGGGCTGCCAGGTGATCTGAAAATGAAATGCAGTTTATTATCTACCGTTATTGAAAACATACAATGCTAAGCGAAGCAAAGCCAAAAAAATAATAAATAAACTCTAAAGTTGAACATACCTTCGCGGCAGTGATGGTGTCGAAGTGTCGGCGGAAGAAAGTAAGAGACTCCCGTGGTCTCCGCACACATCGCACATCGAAGCGATGAGAGAAGGGGACGCCGAGTGGGATCTCCTCATTGGGTACTGGGGCAAGCCTAGGAAAGTAGGCATACACCCACAACTGCAGAATAGATATCAGTATGACTATCAGATAAGGCAAAATACAGAATAAAGCAGAAATGGAAGAACCGTGTGTTGTGCAGTGTATTGTGCAGAGTGTGCAGTGTGTGCAGTATGCAGTCAGTGTAAAACAGAGTATATGTGTGCCGGGTGTGCAGTGTACAGTCAGTGTGGGGCAGTATACAGTATATGTGCAGTGTACAGAATACAGAAAGTAGAAGGCAGGAATGTAAAATGGGGAGAAGACGTACCTCCCAAGCTCGCCAGTAGCCACCAAAGAGCTGTCCGCTGAGGCGGGAAGAAGAGCTCATATAACCATACAATGTGGCCAGGCCTGCGCCACCCCAGTCGTAGCGGCGGATCCGCTTGACGCCCACCAGCGCGCTCAACAGGCATAAGGGCACGGTGTTCGCCCGATCGGCGAAAAGGGTCGTCCCGAAAAGGAACATAATGAAGCCCCGCGCGTACTGGTCCACCTCCTCCGGGGACATCTGCACCTCCTCTGCCAAGGCCGGCTGGATCCAGAAGTGGCTCTCAAACCAC